CCATCCATCCATCCATCCATCCATCCATCCATCCATCCATCCAATCTACACCCAGTCCCCCCGGACAGAGAAGAGTGTTCATGTTTTTAACCCCGAATCATATGTTGAGTCCCTAAGCTTTTGCTCTGGTTCAAAGGCACCGTCTGCTCCAGCTGTTTACAGACTTGTCAACTGTCTTTCCTACAATGAGGATTTCAGTGCAGACTATAACAGTGGTAATGCTGATATATCTAAAACTTTTATTTTTCTTTGTAAACTTAAAAAACTCATGCAGGCTTCAGGGAGTTGTGACTTGGATTCACCTGTCACAGGTTAAATGGATCCCATGTACATACTCTTGTCACGTCAGTCATCAGCCTAAGCTTTCCCACGGACCGCCTATTCATGAGGGTGGGCTCTCTCTTCCCCCTAGTCTTGGGACTCCTTCCACTGCCCCAACTGCCAGGACCACAGTTTCAAGTGTATACCCAAGATAAAGGTTTTCCCCTGGGTGCCTTAACTTTATCTGTCCCTACTCTATATCTGTCCCAGCAGATTTCCAGTCAACTGAAGACTACAAACTGCTCCAAACATGCCAGCCTTGGTGATCCTGTGGAACTAGTGAGCCCTAGACTTGCTGAATGCTGATGTAAACCAAATACTTCTGATGGAATTTCCTACTGCCTTGGACCAGCATTCCAGATCACTCCAAAGTATCCTGCATTTTGCTAGCCCCAGATGGTACTGTAGGGGGTAGCCATTCCAGCTTTGGTCTGGAAGTTCCAACCCCCACTGAGGTTTTGGTAACTATCACGCCCACAAGGCGGGGCCAAGGGAGGGCCTAAAGACCGAGATCTGACATGCCATGCTCTCTTGTTGCTGGGAGCCCGGACGCTAGAGGTGGATGGAGGAGAGTTCTCCAGAGAACATCACCAACTACTGCTGCATCTTTCCCAGAACCCTCAACCTACCTATTCCTTCATTTGTAAGTTACACCATTAAATAAATCTCCTTTTAACTACGTGGAGTGGCCTTAATAATTTCACCAATATGGTCCAGCAGAACCTGGGCAATGAACCAGATGTCCCCTGCTGCCTCCTGGCATTCCAGCTTTCTTGGGCCCTGACGACTACCTAATTTCATTTGAGAAGCAATTACAGAAGAGAGTACGTCACCCTGATCCTCAATAAAAGGCAGGAACGTTAGGTCCAAAGGAAACTAGTTCTTTTCTACCAGATGGAGTCAATTCCCTTCTCTCTGGCAGAAGGGACAAACGGCTACCTGTGGTGTCTACTGGTATACCAGGGCCCATGCTGGCTCCGTGCTCCTTCATTATGACAAATAACCTGTTAAAAATCAGAGGGTTGATGTGTCACCTGGCCTTGTGGCCAGGGGTGGTGGTGGTAGCCGTATGTGCACTATAGAGAGGCAGCACTGGAGACTTGATGGTGGTGACAGGTGAGAGGGAGGGAGACCCACATAGTGTCATTG